AAAAGTTTGTTCAATTCACTGTCATAGACACAGGGATAAAAAGCTGTTGGTTTAGAAATCAACATAGGAAGAAAACCAAAAAAGCACATTAGGCTGTCAACATTGCATGAAATGTAAAGGTTGGAATTGTTAAAAAACAGAAGGAAGCAGAAAAATGCCTTAGGATTGGAATCCATCAAGCATGCAAAGCTCCGTTTTGCAATTATACAGGCAGCACCTTAAGCCAAAGGACCATGGGCTCCCAAACAATGTCATCAAAGGTAAATACTGTGGGCCAATGTCTGAGTCACAAAGAGAGGTAAAGACAACATGAAGAATGGGAGACAGATGAAAAGAAATTAAAAGCACTGAATTTTAATTATTTCTTTAAAGGCAGCTGACAGTCCAACACTCTTCATAGTAGTGTTCAGATATTTCAGACATTAAAGACAGAAGGGAGAAAGAAAAGTATGACAGCACACAGTAGACGTCTGTTTGAAACCATATAAAGTGGCAGTGTTTCATTGATTTTAATGGGACAGTATGATGTGGAAACATGACAGAAAACACAAGGGAGATAACCCAGGCAGCACTGCTATGAGCTATTCCCAGCTGTGTGCATTAATCCACTCAACGATCACGCCAAAAGTTTTCTCGATGTTTTTCATCATCGACAGAGAGAGAGAAAAGTGCTCGTTTCCATCTAAGCTCTACGAGACAAGGAAGGCTAGAACAGAGTTTCTCTGAGAGATGGAAATAGATAATGAAATACAGAAACTGAAATGATTTCCCAGTCAGACAGTCACTTACAGCAAGACGGAACACTCAGAGAGAAGTGAAAAAGTCAAACAGACTGAAGTACTGGGGATGGTGAAGAGTGATGGTATAATTCACGGTATATAGACATCTAAGACCAACACCAGAGTTTTTCAGATTTAACAAGGGGTGGTGGGGGGCAAAAATGCTCCTTTATTTTCCCAGAAGATATCTAGTTAACTGGGAAGAAGCTATGCATATTTTTAATGAAGTAGAGAAACCCACCCACATTCTTCCCCAACAAATCAACCCTTGGGACTATGATAGGAGATGTGTTTGCATTTCTGAAGTGGCTTACACCAGCAAAGTTATCCCAGAAAGTGATTTCAACTGTTTTCTAAACTGATACTAAAATACCAACCTCCAGTCAGATCCCTGCTATCGTTACTGCGTGACATTACGGGTTGCTTTGGGTATGTTTCTATTGTAGATCCGGCCTGCAGGCTCATTGAATGAAACATGAATATCCAGTCTGCCCCTTTCCGAACATGTGCACACGCGGGCAGCTCGCGCCCTCACACACAGCGTTGCTGAACATGTATAGCAGCATCTAGTGGCCCTAATTTGCTGCTACATTGTCACTATAGATGAGGAGAGCTGCCCTTTCAAACAGCCTGTTTTTCAGCGTATGCATGTGTGCGTAACCCCTATATTACAATGTGTACACATATAGCAAAGATGTTCGCGCAAGGCTGCTGCTTTTTTTGTTCAGTGTGATGTAGATAATTAGGACTCTATTTAGAGAAAGGGCCAGCCCAGGAAATACACAGGAGATCTTCACTTCATTAAAAATCAATTATCACAACACACGTGCCAGTGCAATACAGCCCTCATGGCCACACTCAGCGACACACACATACACACATATGCATATCTTTGCCTGGTTCTCAGTGAGATTCATCTCCAGTTGGTTTTACTTTTTTCTCTCTCAAGAGATTGTGTGCGCCTGATCCTCCTCTTAGCGAAGGAATCGCCAGCGTTGCAGTCCCGCTCTTACATAATAACTTCAGGATAACGCTCGCACCCCCGCTGGTTGAGGATGCTGTCAGTCATCTTGCTCTGACCAGGTCAGCTCAGGCTGGAAAAGAAGTCCCACCCACCCTGTGTGAAAGACTTGTCGCTCGGGGCAGAGCGATCTCCAGAAAACAGAGACAAGTCCCTTTTCCACCCAGGTTTTGTTTGCAAATGGAGGCCTGTCAAGGAAGGTTCGGGGGGTAATAGCTGCATTAATATCAAATATATATCATCATACTCCCTAACTTAAAAACAACAAGAACACTGAACAAAGACATGGATCTTTGTTCTGTCATATGCACAATCCACTACTACAACTAATGTCTAGCCTTGTGTAGACAATATGTGGAAGTGGGAGTCTTCTGGTAAACAATTCCCAAAGCCTCTGTTGCTGAGAGAGAACGACAGTGATGATACACGAGTTGGCTTTGCACACTGATGACATCACTTCCTTTCACAGTGTGACAGCTTAGCACATCATCGCTGTGACAGCCAGACGAGAGCAGCAAGTGGGTGGTCACCCTGGAAACAGCAATGCTGTCATGACCGTCCTCCTATATCCTACCTGACAGTCCCCACTGGCAAAAAGCACGACAACAATGCACACACCCACACAAAAAAAGAAAAATATTCACATACGGAATCCCACGAACCCAACTTTAAGTATGTTCTTGATACCTCCCTGATGAAAAATGCACGTGCCAACATGCCCGTGGTCTTTTCTGCATAATAGACGACGAACGCAAAGACGAATACAATCTGCCACAAGGTAGGAGAAACACAGTGAAGATGTAATGCAAATCGCCAAAGAAAAACAGTGAAAGCACACTTTTTTAAAATGGAAAATTTAAAGAGCTTATCCTGAATATCAACACAAACTGTTTGTAAAACTATGTATATCCATATCCTACAACAGCAGGTGTGGGCTGAACACATGTTATTTCTTAAAAACCCACAGAAATTAGCTCAACTCAGATTAACATTTTAATTAGAAAGTTTTACAAAAAGCACTGGACTTGTTGGCACAACCACAGAGTACGATGACAGAGAGCACTCAAAAGCTGATGGAAAGCATGGCTGCAGCAGTGTTGTTCAGTCTCCTTACTGTTTATATGTGGTCTTTTGATAACAGTCATGTCCTGGGTGCAACTGACCTGTTTTGATGACTATAAATAGCACATTACAGGCCATGTTCATTGACATCTCTGTGCATGGAGTCTGTGGTTTGCTGTCCAAGTCCAGGGCTCTACACTGACCCAGTTTGGAGCCTGTTGACCGACAACTCGTAGAAATGGGTCACATTTTGGGCCACACCAAAACTTAGGATGAGTCCAAACGGACTGTAATAATAAACAATATTCTGCTCTTGAGTTTCAGACACTATCTAAGAATTTTTTCAAAAGTTTAACAGTGGGTAAACGGCTGCCAGTGTAACTAAGAATTAGAAAAATTCTCATTGAAGAAAGGTGCAGAGTCCATGGTTACAGGGTGGCAAAGCCACAGGGTGTAAGTATTTCAGGCTTCATGATAATCCCCAGTATCTAATAATACGATAATAAATTATTTAAATGAGAGAGAAATTATTAGGAATAATAATAACTAATGGAAGATCACGTACAGACTCATAAGGTTTTTGTATTTTAGTTCTGTTTTAGAACTTTATACTCCTGCTCAGGAACTTTTAAAAAAAGTTGAAATGACTAGAAAGAAACTTTCACTTCCAGCAGATTTGACTTTAAGAACAGCTGTTCAGTGTAAAACCCAGAGTACAAGTCATTTGTTACAGTGCGACTGATTAGATTGTTACATCAGTTTACTGATTTACAGTATCAATATCCAGAAATACTGATAACGTGTTTTCCAGCCATACTTTAAATCATGTCCCTGGGGTCCAGGTGGAATTTTGAGATTGGATTGATCATGTGTACCTGCTCAGTTGCTAGACAGACCGAACTGCCTCCTTTGATCCTAATAAGAGATTATCCAATTATGTATACTGCACACTCATTCTATCACAGACGTCTAGCATACATACACACATACATACAAACTCTTTTCAGGTAAAATAAACACATGATAAGAAATCTATCAAACAAAAGTGCATGCACTTAACCTGAAATTAATAAGCCTACACCAACATAAACACACCTCATCTGGACACACACACAGCAGTGAAGTGCAAAAGGCAGATCGGTTGTTTTCAAATCTGCTTGTTGATTTGACTATTCTGTACTTCTCAGAAAACTGATTAATTCATCCAGGATTCCACACAGGTGGGACTATGCAAGGAGATTACATGTGAATGGCTGTTTCAGCTGAGGCAGTGCTCAGCAGAGGAGGCAGCCAGCACGTCGGGAAATAATTTAGGATTAGAAAGGCTGTCTAATCTCTTTATAGAGACTGTGCCATCTCAGCAGCATACCTGCCTACCTCTACATCCATGTACATCCATCTCCGGCTTTCGCTTTCCATTTAATATGGATAATATGTTCAGAGGTGCCAACAGCAGGTGCTTCAGTGTATTGAAATAGTTTGTTCAGATTCTGTGCCTTTGGTTGTGACTGTACATGGAGCTGCCAATACACAGTAAGTAAAACCCAACATCGAGAAAGTGGTTGAATTGGTGGAGATCTAGATTAGAAAGAGCTAAATGTGTGTTTCTTTGAGAGGGTGAGAGTACGGAAAATATAGAGGACCTTCAGTGATGCAACCAGTTTTCTCATTATGGCCAACGCTTGCAACCTGCAGGGGTTTCTACTTCAAGCTGAACACAAAGTCTGGTTATTTATTTGTGCATGGGTGCTTGTCTGTGCAGGTACAGAGAGTATGTACGCAGTTCCAGGTGACACAGTTAGTCGAAAAAACTTCTATGAAGACATAATCAATGTCCACATGTCACAGTGCCCTTGTCAATTTCAAGTCGCGCAGACACAATGTGTGGACACTCTGCAAGAACATGCAGGTGCTACGACAAACCAAGATATCCACAATTTTTTGGTGTGTGTGTGTTTTTTCTTTTCTCTTTTTTAAACTTCCAATCGGACCACAAGCTGAGGGTCACAGGCTGAGCAACACTGACTGAGCAAGGTGTTGCCCAGAGAAGCTGAGAATCAAAAGTCTATTGCAAGTTTAAACAAAAAGATGAATACAATTTTTAACCCCCATCCTCTCTGTCCTTGCTTTTCTTACAGCCCAAATTGAAGTTATACCATGTAAAATTTGCGGAGACAAATCATCAGGTATCCACTATGGAGTCATCACATGTGAGGGATGTAAGGTAAGACTCGCCACCATTTCACCAAAGCTTTTTTTTTTAAATAAGTCATGCAGTCTGCGCTCCGTGGTATCTGAAACCTGTATTTGCTCTTGACATGGGTTTGACCAGGGTTTCTTCAGACGGAGTCAGCAAAACAATGCCTCCTACTCCTGCCCTCGCCAGAGGAACTGCCTCATCGACAGAACGAACCGCAACCGCTGCCAACACTGTCGCCTGCAGAAATGTCTCGCCCTAGGAATGTCCAGAGATGGTAAGGCTTATGAGTTTATCTGGGCGAAGTTGTGCAGGCTGTTTATGCGCGCAGAACTCTGACTACAGACTACGCCATCCCCTTTTCCCCTCAAACTGTTCCCGGCACAGAGCTGTTTTAATCCTATTTTATCATAGAAATGGAGATATTTTTTGTGTTCGCTCACTCTAAGCTGTCATTTTTTTCCTCATACAGCGGTGAAGTTCGGCCGCATGTCGAAGAAGCAACGTGACAGCCTGTACGCAGAGGTCCAGAAGCACCAGGCACGCCTGCAGGAGCAGCGGCAGCAGCAGACCGGCGAAGCTGAGGCTCTGGCACGTGTCTACTCATCCAGCCTGACCAATGGACTTTCCACCCTAAACCATGAAATTGGGGGAACCTATGCCAATGGTCACGTCATAGATCTACCCAAAGGCGGCCACGGTAATGGAGGCGGAGTCCCGGGAGGATACTATGGCATGGATTCCACCCAGCCATCTCCAGACCAGTCAGGTTTGGACATGTCGGGCATGAAGCACATTAAGCAGGAGCCTGTTTACGACCTGACGCCAGTGCCCAACCTCTTCAGTTACGGAGGCTACCAAGACAGTCAGCTTGGCCCCAACAACGTTAGCATGGGAGAACTGGGTAAATAATGCCTTTTTGCTTTAAAAAAATACTTGAATTTTCCACATGGAAAATGAATCATTAACCACAAAGAAGACTTGGAAGAGAACCTGACTCAGAGTCCTAATCTGAAAGCACAGCAGGACATCAGACAGGCTTACATGGCCAGCTTAAAATGTGTCCTATCACTGTATGCTTACCCAGTGAGGATATCAAAGATTTAGCCTAAATTAAGAAAGGAACATTTGAATTAAGACGTAGAAGGATAGAAGTGATTTAAGATGCTTTATTGAAATTTTCTACATGCATGGATCATAACTTGTACAATGGTGCAACATCGTGCGTCAATGCTCGGCTGGTAATAAATAAATAATCCTCTCTTCCAGACCGTATTGCTCAGAATATCATCAAGTCACACTTGGAGACGTGTCAGTACACGACAGACGAGTTACAGCAGCTAGCCTGGCAGACGCATTCCTATGAAGAGGTCAAGATGTACCAGAGCAAGGTGAGGTTTTATCTTGTGTCGTCGCCTTGTTCTTCAAGCTCGTGGCATTACATTTTAAATTTGTCTCAATTGTTTAACAGTTTAGGTGCTATTCTACCTTTTTATTAGACAGTTTTTTTTCAAACAATTTCATTTTACATGTCTAATTCATTCGTCGCCATTTTCTTACAACAAATCAACCTTAATTTAATTCAAATGAAGGTTTGAGCATAGGTGTTTTGTGGCGTCATCGGTCAGATCAACATTAGCATGTGGTTCATTTGAACTGAAACTACTGAAGTACAGAGCATGAGCGTCTGAACCATGCCTGTCTGATTGCAGCCCCGGGACGTGCTGTGGCAGCAGTGTGCCATCCAAATCACCCATGCCATCCAGTATGTGGTGGAGTTCGCCAAGCGCATCTCAGGGTTCATGGAGCTATGTCAGAATGACCAGATACTCCTTCTCAAGTCAGGTGAGATATGTCACTCCCTTTTGATAGATGCAAATTGACGTCTCAAGAAGTGGGAAAGCTTCTGCGGTAATTCATACTCATTTTGCTATAATAATGGCTCTTCCAGGGTGTTTGGAGGTAGTCTTGGTGCGGATGTGCAGAGCATTCAACCCTCTCAATAACACTGTGCTCTTTGAGGGGAAGTACGGAGGCATGCAGATGTTCAAAGCTCTGGGTAAGACATTTATATTTATATGTTTGTTTTGCAGAATGTGAGAAAAAAATCCTGTGATGAGTGTAATAAAATTCGTCTTACCTCTGTCCTTCGTTGTGCTTTTCCTCAGGTTGCGATGACTTAGTGAGTGCAGTTTTTGACTTTGCCAAGAGTTTGTGTTCACTGCAACTAACAGAGGAGGAGATTGCTCTCTTCTCAGCAGCTGTACTCATTTCCACAGGTCAGTGTGCTTCTGCCAATATTATTCCAATACAAGAATAGATATGATCTGTGGCACTCTCATTCATACCTTCCTTTATTTTTTCTTGATGCTTTGTAATGATTTGCATTGTCACAGTTGAGGAAATTAGTGAACCCTCCCCTTTACTGACCTCAGGAACAAAATAACTGTATTTTTATCCTGCCAACAGAATGCAACAACTCTAACAACTGGCTCTGAATTAATTAGTTCTTCTTCTTGTCTCTATTCAGATCGGCCTTGGCTGATGGAGCCAAGAAAAGTCCAAAAGCTCCAAGAGAAGATCTACTTTGCCCTGCAGCACATTATGCAGAAGAACCACATGGATGAGGACGCACTAGCAAAGGTAAGATTACATTACATTTATTTACAGAAAGAAAATGCAAATTCAACACAACTGGTTGCTTCAACAACTGATGGAGGAATTGATAACTAAAAAGGCCCGATTATTGAACTAACATTACTGTCATGTGCCATCTAGTAGTTCATCCGATCAGATTCTTCATCGATGACCTTTTATTTCCCTTCCGTTTTGGCAGCTAATCAGCCGAATCCCAACACTCTCAGCCCTGTGCACGCTCCACACCGAGGAGCTTCAGGCCTTCCAGCAACTCCACCCAGAAACAGTCAACGTCCTTTTCCCTCCGCTCTACAAAGAACTGTTCAACCCGGACCCAAACTCAGCCATGACCATGCCCAAGTGACTGTCTGTGGTCCAAACACGACGCGCTGCCACAACAGAGGACCAAGAAAACAAGTTTGCTTTATCTGATGAGACGACAGCGGCCATGTCGACTGTGTCATCGTTGTGGCAACCATATTTCTCTGAGCTCCCCCAGGCTCTTTTCAGGCTGGCGGGTGAGGATTCATCTGCTAGAAACACAGAGTTACCGCCAACAATACTAGGAATGTCCAGCACTTATCCTATCTTGTTCACCGATACAGTCTGAAGAATGTATATATAAGTGAAACGTGCCCCACACCCCAACCTGATGGGGGTTACACTTGGCCCCTGAACTGAACTGAGTGACCAGAAATGTACAGACTTTAAAACGTCTAGGAACAATTTTAAGGTGTCAATCTTTTTAAGAAAAAGTTCATTTGATTTTAATTGAAAAATACGTTTTGTTCAGTTTTTGTTTTTCTCAATTTAAGACATTGTGAAGGTGAAGAAGCTGGATGGGGGAGGGAACTGTGGATTTAGAGAAGCTATTGTAGATATTCTTCTAGTGGAGAACGGATTCCAGTATTACTTGCTCGGTTAAAATAAGTTAGTCCTAATTTAAATATACAGCAGTCCACTGTGGCTGACTATACCTTGTCTATGTGTTCCTATTTTATTTGATAGTTTCCTGTGTACAGAATTTGTAAAGTTCAGACTTGTGAAGGAATACTGGGCAAAAACTGGGACTTCATTTGGGTTTGTTGATAAACAGAAGCCTTGTCTGGATTTTGTTCATATGTATAGAAGGTGTAATATCCTTCTGACCAGAACCTATAGAGATGTAAAGAGAGCATATGAAGGACTTAAAAAATATAATTGCTACTACTTTTCAAGGTGAAGATGTATACATAAATATTCTATTTTGCAAGACAAAAAAAAATCAGGCAGAGTTGCCATGCTATCAATAATTTATTTCTCGCTGCAATAATTATGTCCAATAAAAGCTGGACTGCTTTCGAACAATCAACCAGACACATCTAATCAGAATCCAGGACCTCATGATGAGCCCCTCACCTCTCCCCAGAGTCCCCTAACCTGCTCTTTATCAATCAGAACCTTGGCATTGTGTTTTGGCTGACAGAACTGATAAAAGGCACTAAGAATACATTTATTTATAATCTGAAAGAAGTAACAAAACCGATGCAGTCTTGAAAAAAAACTACTTAAAATTCTTACATTTTGTACGAGTGCCCAATGCCCTCCACCTCGTTTTTGCACAATCCAGTCCATGGATGTCAGTCAGTCTGGGCTGTGGACATGTAGGACCCCTTCTGTAAAGAGCAATAACTTTCGTACTGCATCTTTCTCATCACCTTTCCCCTTTTATCCTCTGTTTTCAAGCTGTCCAAAACAGAAAAGCAGTTGTAACGAGGTTGCACTGGATCAATGGTAATTACTAACAATCATCTGTGTTTCTGGAATTCTTTCAACCTCAGCACTGTCTGAAAAATGTGCAGCGTCACCTCCACTCATCATTAGCAGCTGAAGTAAAACATCAGCCACTTATACAAAAAAGCTGATTGACAATCACTTTTTTCCCACTTTTTCATTCCAAGCACGCACAGGCTGTAATTGTTAGCATTTGGACACTGCGTAAATTCCCAATTTGCTTTACTGGGCATTTATCCAATTGGAAGATAGTGTCAGGGCTGTCTTTTCTTATGAAGGAGTAATCTAAAGATCACTGTGGATACGTGTATTTGGGGTTTTTGAAAACACCCATTAAATACTCGTACTGCATTAATTTAGCAAAGACAGCACTGGTGAGCAAGAAATATCAGCACAATCAAAATGAGCCATGAACCTAAATAAGGGACTCGATACAGCTGATTTAATTCAAAGGATTTTTAAAGATTTAAAGACAGTGGTTTTTGTTGGTTTCCATCATTGTTATACTATATAAATGGCGGATACAGACCTTAAGTACTAAAACATGTTGATCTCCCCAAGGGTCTTTTTTTTTTTTTTTTCACAAATGACATTAACATTTAAAACACTTATTATCTATGTGTCAATGAATTTATCCACACAGTGACATGTCATGGAGGAACATGCAATGTCCATGCGCTCTGTGTCAGTGATCCATTTACTTATTTCTCCAAACAACAACAACTTTCCTTCAACTCCTGACCCAAACACAAATCAGAGGCCAGTGACCTTCAAGACAATCATTTGCTCATTAAGGCTCAATGCACTACAAAGCATCTCTCAGGGAGCAGTTCTTTTTCTGACTTTGCATTAAAAGAGGGTTTAATGTTTTTAAAAATTTACTAAAAAAATTAATAATAAATGAAGAACTTTTTAGGATAACAGTGGCATACAGTGCCAATGTATGCCAGCAATGTAATCTGCCCAGACAAGGCTTTGATAGGCATATGTTTATACGTGCGTCTGTTCGAGTGTGTGCGTGTGCGTAGAGCAGGAATTCACTGTCCATACCTCTGTAGAGACCCAGACTGTAGGACATTTATCTTTACAAAACATAAGAAAAAAACGCAAAAATACATCATTGTGCTCTTGTCACCACTGTACGCTCATGTTTACTGCTTCTTTTGCTGCTTTGAGGACAGTGAGGGAAGTCCATTAGTAAGCTGTGATTTAAACACTATTACATAGGGCAGTGAATTCTAACTCTGAATATGAAGTTTTGGTGTGTGGTATTTTTGTTTTCCCTCGTTAGACTGTGAATCAAAGGAGTGGAATGGGGTGAGGGGGATGTGCTGGCAAGAACAAGGGTAACCAACACTGTAAGTAAGATAATGTAGCAATAAGAACTGGAGACATTTACTACTGCCATGTTTGCATTGTAAGATTATTTTTATTTTATTACTATTTACTATTATTATTGTTCTTATTATGACTACTGTTCTTATATTACTATTAGCCTATTGTTGTTCTGTTCTATTTGCATGACGTTTCATTGCAATGAAACATTTGGGGCTTATTTGTGTTTTCTCCCGTTATGATAATGTGGGTTTCTGAAGAGAATTTTTTGGCAGGGTGGGCAATCAGTGTAGGGCAAATTCCACACCACTTTGGTTCAAAAGTTTTTTTCCCGCTCAAGTTGAAACTTTTCTTATTTAAATAAAAAAATGCTCTAATTTAAATAAAAACAATAAAAAAATTGTTGTTGGATTTGAAGGGTTTTTTCAAACCCTCTGAATGTGTAAATTGATATCATCAGTCAGTAAACGCCCCTTTCTGAACTGGCCTTGGTTGACCGGATTGGAAATCTGCTGTGGGATGGAACTATGTGGGATGGGGTATCTATTCTGAATGTTATGGAGTAGCCTGTTCAGTGTGAGCAACTGAACACATCGTGCGCCTTCTCTACTCCATCAACACAGAATGACATTGTGGATCGCACAAAAGTAGTTGTTCAATGTGACAACTCAAACACATTGTGCAGATTTTTTTATTACACTTGGTTTTAAACACATTTCATACGCTTAGTCATATACACTCCAAACCTCCTTCTCCCTTCCCTATGAAAACTTGTATGAGTGTGAGACAGAACAGAGAGTGAGATGACATAATGTTTGCTCTCCCAATGCTTTGTAAACTTTCTTGATGCATTACACGCGTGTGCAATTGGAGCAGCGTTTAAAATTGTTAATTTATTTTTTAGAATGTCTTTGCATCCCAGCAAGAGCAAATAAAACAAAATGTAGCAATCTGTAACTAAAACCTGAAAGGTGATCTGGGTTACAGAGAGTCTTTTACACAGGACCAACACAAGACAGTAAGAAATAAAAAATAAAAAAAAACAAAAAAATAAATTTTCTTTGTTTTCAAAGTGCCATAGCTAGTGAGGAGGGAAAGGATTGGCAGAGTGGGGCGTAGATGCTTTACTGTGTGAGTTTACATGAGAAATCAATCAAAAAATGGAAGGAAAACTCCAAGGAAAATGTGTATTTGCTTACACTGTCAAAACATTTTTACATTTGATGCTTTTTTTTCTTTTGTGGGACTCTGCTGGACTCTGAACTGACTGCTAAATACCCATGACAGCTGCTGTAGAGTTTTCATCTAAACAAAAATAAGAGTGTACGCATGCATTTATTTCCACTGAAGAGTCAAAAACACCCAAAACTGAAGGATCAGATTCGGTTGAAGTTCAGAGCTATGCAGGGGTCTTAGCAAGTCCTCCTTTGAGTTGTATATAAAATGTGAAGGTCTGAAGTGATTTTTTGTTAAATTCTATATTTTATCGCTTTTGTAGACATTTTGTTGTGGGAAGAAAAAAATAAAAATAAATTTTATGGGTGCATTTTCGTCTCTTCTTCCTGATTCATACATCATTCATCATTCAAGCAACAAAACAATTTAATCTCTGTAAATGAATATGAAGCGATACTGCATACGGTAGAATTAATTCCTTATGAGCAAATATTTTTGTCATGTTTTCTTTTATGATTATGATATGCAGTGCGACAATAAAAAAATAAATCAAAGATTATCCCTCAGGACTGTCATCCTCCGTAAAGCTGTCTATTACAGACTTATATACAAATTTCAATAATCCGCAAAATGGCTGGTGTCTGTTAACGGGCCTCTGATGAGGATATGTTACCCTGCATCATCCTGTTTCACTGTAAACAAATCCAGACTTGTAGAAGACACCCTTAGAGTATTTTTTAAAACACATTTGTAAAAAAAAAAAAAAAAAAAGATATGGTGTCTTTTATCTTCCTGGATCAATAGTTACACATAGGACTCATCCTCATCTTCGTTCCCAGATATCGACTCTCACACACTGCTGCTCTCGCAGCTGCCTGGATGGCTCCTAAAATCTGAACAACAGAAAAATCAGTTAGCGACATGTCACTTCAATAACACAGTCATTACCACAAGAAAGAGAATACTAACAGGACTGGGAGGAAGTCCATGCATCCAGCATGAATAATTTGGTTTGATTTGTGGATGAAATCTTGGAGAGGACACAAGAAAAGGAAGAGGAAACACAACGCACCTTGGAAATATCAAAACAACTGTGTCTGAATGTTTGTGTTTGTTTGCTAGGCTTGTTTATTATTGAGCTCAGCTTCTTTCCGCGCAGTTATCCTCTAGATGCCAGTATCATGTCTACCAAGAGACATTAATTAATAGCTAATCAAAGCTAATGTCTCAGTAGCACATTGCCAGCACAAAGAAATGATTAATATGTAATCAAAGGCCGCACAGCACAACGCACAAAGCAGGGCCCACCCCTATGTCTCCAACACTACTGCTGTTACAGAAATAAACGAAAACTGCAGCTTAATTAGCTGGCTGTTGGTGTGTGCTGTCTTCATTTGAAGTTGTTGGGAAATTCTCTCAGAGCCAAGTAGGCCTCCTGAGTGACGACACAGAGGTGACATACAAATACTTGCAAATGAACACAGGAGGAATAAAAACATACAGAGAAAAAAATGATTTGTACATGCAAATTCACATATAACACTGTCAGTAACACAGAGAATGTACTTAAACTGTTTCAAAAACACTAAAAAGCCCACATGTTTTGACTGTTCCTTCGTATTAAAGAAAATGAAGTGGTTTTGCACCTTTAAGGCCCAGTCTGCGGCAGGAGAAATTGCAAGAGTGTTTCTGCAGGAAACCGTTGATGGCAGCATCTCCAAGGTTATCAGGACCAAAAAGCAGGTCACTCCTGCCACCACTGACATAAAAACAGACATGCCGTGAGAGCAGGAAGTGTCACATGTCCATCTTCAGTACATATCAGAAATAATTCAGAGAGAACTCAGATCAGACATGAACCGATTCTGAAAATAAATGTTTTTGATGTTACATATCTGTGAGAAACCGTTACTGTTATTACCTTTGATTGTCAGCCATAATGACAGTTGGATCAGTTAGCTCCTCTCCCACTCCTGACAATGAAAGTAAAATAGAATTTAAAAACAGATAAATACAAAAAGGAAGAAAAAAGTTTTCAGATACATGCTCGACAGCTCATACTAGCAGGCATGCTAATGCCCCCACACACGCACATACACACATACAGAAAGACATTTATCCTGCCTTGCATATCGAGCACCAGCAGCTCTCTGCACGAGTATTCGTATGTCCAGTGAGAGAATGCTAGCAGCAGGTCCTCCAGAGAACAGCAGGGGGTGATCTCCTCTCCTGTGTTGTTGTTGTATTTCCTGAAGTCACCAGTCATATTCCTTTCAATGGTCATCCACTGGCCATTAGAATGCCATAGGACCAGTGATACATCCAGAAATCTGGAGGATAGAAAAGGACGTCAACAGATGCAGAGGTGTGTAAATGCAGATGGACATGAGAACAAGCCTTACACACCTGGGTGAATGGTGCAAATCCTCAGGTTTGACCTGGTTAAAAACTTCCATCATCTTCTGCGCTGCTCGCTGCTGCTGGATCTCCTACAATAATGTCAACAACTTCATCCCTCTATTAATGTTTTAGGAAGTTTTCAACTAAATAAACCTCAGAGTTTGGAACACTTACCCTTAAGCAAAGCTGCAGTGCAGTGCTGGCGTGGAAGTACCTTTGCCAGGCACGCACCACCTCAGGTTTAAAGGCTTTGACCACATATACCAGACCAGGCCTGAGCACATCCCCTTCTGCCCAGGTACAAAGCATTCTGTATCCCTTCATGAGACCGCCATCCAGAGAGCCTTCTTCACTGAAGAGCGGCTGAAGTATGGCCGACTGGCCTCGGGAAGACCAGGAAGAGACTAAAGTTGCTTCAGCATCGGTGTCAGAGGGTACTTCCATCAGGTTATAGATGCTCACCTCTTCACCTCCTGTGGATAATAAAGAATTCTCATTGGAGTGACAGAAATGTTTAAAGAACATGAATAAACAAGACATAATAATGTGGCAAGAAAGTTACCAAAAAGTGAAACAGGAGTGAAGGGAATGGTGTGAGCCAGTCTCATCAGATTGTTCCTTTCCACGGCTGATAACACACAGATATACAACACTACTAAAACTAGAGGCAGAATGAGGGACGTCAGAAGAAATGCTCATATTTATCATTCTGGAAATACCTGAATAATGCGGGTACAAATCGTCACTGAACTGGAAGGAGGAACTTTTGGCTACGGCAAACAAAATAAAGTGTTACAATAAAAAACTTTACAAATCACATTACTAAACAAATCACTCTTGTCAACTAATATTGTTAAGAAAAACTATTCAAGATGTATGCTTCAAAATACCTTCAGATGCAACTCCACCCTGTAAACTGTGTCAGAGAGAAAGAAAAAGCAATTTGCATTAAAATGTTCATAAGTTTGTGTGTAGTTGTGGAAGCCCAGAACAACAGGGAGACTTACGAAGCCCTTCGGCCCGTGGACCTGACCCCGCTGCTCCATGCAGGATGAATGGGGCTCCATATATCCTATCGGTAAATTCAATATTTATAAGAGGAACTTCCCAGAAAGATGCTATATCTCTTATTATCTCATTTTTTCTCAATTCACCACAGTGTTTATCTAAAATTTAGCATGAATTTACCGGATGAGAAGACACCTTCTTCGGCAACACATCTGTGGGATCAAAATCTGAAAGACAATTGAGATTATCAATCATTCAATCCTCAAAATAAATTGAGACACAGTTACTTATTGTCTTCTATGACAAACCTACAGTTAGTCGGTTTGGCTGGATGCACTTTCTAATAAAGCAGGTACTTTAAATAAATGAATGCCAGGCCCTTACCGAGTTGACTGAGGCTGGCTGAAGCTGACCAACATGTAGGTTCTCCTATAAATCTCTGACGTCTTCTTCCCGAAGCCTCAGATAAGTGGGACTTCATGGTTTCCAATCAAAAGAAAAAAGATAGAAATACATAAAAATATTCAAATGTCAGTAAAGATTTTGTTTTAAGTTGCTTTCATAAAGAAGGTTCAATGCAATGATAGCATGGTAACATTTCTGAGGTAATGAAAAATGTTAAAGTGTTAGCAGTAGTCTGAAAAAGATGACTTGTTTCACATTACTTTGGCTAGACTGCTCTCTTGTATCTTCACCGTCTTCCTATTGTGGCTTTTGCCTTGGCTGGCAAGGACATGAGTGAAGTCAGAGGACTTGGACCACTCTAAATAAATGAGGAGAATACAATCTGTTGCAACAGGTTGAATGGTAACACAAACTTAGAAAAAACAATGGTAATTGAAGTACAGAAAAATATTTTTCATTAAGCAGAAGTCAGGCGCACCTTGGTTCCTGCTGCGCTGCAGAGATGAATCATTACTAAAGCCCCTCCTCCCAGACATTCCATCGTTGTTCACCGATTCATTAAGAGATGAAACTGATCCCCTCATTGGGCCGAGAGGTGCCACAAAGGAAGTCATGTTTTCCATGCTGGAGGAAAGAGATCTGCAGTTTCCATAGGGACGATCTCTGGACATGCATGCCCACCTGGGGAATATGATGGGCTTTCTCCACTGGCTGGAATGTCTGGACCGAAAACCTGGTTTACAGTTATCCTGAGAAAAGATGAGATTTATGAAAACATCACACAGGGCTCAAAGGTAAGACTCAAATAAGGCATTAAAGGAAACTCCACATACCACTTCGTTGGGCTGCTCTTTCCCTGCTCTTTCCTCTCCATCTTCTTGCTCTTCCTCCTCATCTTCTTCTCCCTCCTCCATGGATTTTTCTTCCTGGCTCAGATACAGATAGGGGTCACATGTCCAGGGTCTATGATGTTGTGATCCTAAGCCTCTGGGAGAGAGGGGAGACCCGCAGCGTGATGATTCACAGGACTCAGAGGACGCCTGGCCCCGCACTCCACCACCATAACAGTGAGACAAGGAAGCCTGGGACGCAGATTTTGAGATTCCAAACCAGCTCTTGCCAGGATGGTCCTCAGGAGAACACTGTGAGTCCAAGAGAAAAGAAAGAAAGAAAATTGCATTACTGTTCTCATGAAAGGACGTCCTAAAAACCTCTTTTGCAGTCACCTCTCTTTCCTCAGTCTGCTCATGTTCCTCCTTTCCCCTGGTCCCAACATGGCATTCCTGACATGTTGGTCTGCTTGTTGTTAGAGCAGAGCCCTTTAGCAAGGAAGGCGGGGTACTTTTGCATGATTTGACCATCAGCCGTCGAATATTAGAAACATCCCAGTCTGTTCCCGTCCCGTATGGGAGGGTCCAGCTATGGGGGTAGACATGCTGCGATGCTGAAATTAGTCGACACTGAGCCAGACGGGCCTCTCCCTGATGTAGGCTATCAGAAGCAGAGAGCAGAGTGAGTGTGTCCACAGCCTGTGCTGACAGGTCCTGGAGCTCGCCCAGCTGACAGTCTATCTCTGACAGGCTGTCTTGAATAAAGTTGACCTTCTCTGAGACATCGTTCATCGTCACACCCATCTCCTCAGCTCTAATGGAACAAGAAATAGTCAACTTTACCAGATTGAAGCATTTATTTTTCTCACTCACCCGTTAACTCATACCTCTGTTAAAGGTCAAAGCAGACTGAAAATTCATTCTGTCATCTAGCAAAAATACTGTTGTATGTAAAATATTAAACAAAAATAGACTATATTGGACTACAAACATAAACCTACTGCATAAATCCAAACCTTGAGTATGTGAAAAGTCATGAGGTCAGGTTTCTTTAAAAGCCCATAATAATACTTTCCCCATTCTCCTCACCATTCTGAGATTAATCTAAGTCAGAAAAAAGTGCCCTATTTGGGCCAGACATCCAGAATCAGATTCCGTATCACTCGTGCCTTAAAAAGAGCCTGTGTTGGTGCTATGGGTCTGTATACTGCTGCTTTTAGAGCTCGATAGAAATGTTCCACCTCTTATTAACCACCAGAATTAGTCACTGTGCAACACCCAAACCAATTTGTACAAGGCCTCTGATCAGTTATACGTCTAATATTTAAGGCCTCAGTACTGACTTTGCTCCTAAAAAAAAAAGCTGATATGTGCATTAAAAAGGAGCAAACAATTGTAATTTGGCAGGCTGTGATGTGGCAGGAATTCACAAGAAGTGGAGGGTCATCCTTGCTGATACCACAAAATGATTTTTCACTCCCCAACACTCTCTGCATTCCTGGTGATTAAAAATGTATTTAAATATCAATCAGACCTCTCAGCTGTGGCTCTGATCCTCTTTATTTGACTGCTGTGAAGACCTTCACTCTTCTCATGGAAATAGGCCTCTACACATTTCTCTTCAAACTCATGCAGCTTTTTTCGATCTCCGTGGCCGAGATAGAGCTCTGGCAAATACAGAAAAAAAGTGCATTCCTCACTTTGAAGATGTGTACATTATAATAAATTCAGATATGTTTCATTTTTATAATTTCCTCATTTTTCCTGCAGGTCTTACTCAGCCCAGAGCCTCTCTCTTCTTGGTCAGCCTTTCCACTGAATTTCCCATAGAAGCCTCTCAAAACAAGAGCTATGTGACTGAGGAGGATGAGGGGCGGGGGCAGCCATGGCCTATCCTGATAGGTCATTATGTAGCGGTAACGGTTATACTTCCACAACTTGTTGGATGTTGATGCCATGTCAAAATAAATGTTGCTGTAAGGAAGACAATATTAATTCATATTGTTGCAAAATTCACCAAATAACTGAGATTTAGCTAAATGAGCATACTTACTTAAAAAAGGCAATGAGAATGTTGACCATGATTATATACTGGAAGAACATATAGACGGCCTGGAGTAATGGTGAAAGGAAGAACAAAGGAGGACATGAATCCTCACATGCTGTTGGTACAGAAGCACACAGATGTTAGCACTGGAAATCCTTGTAAACCATAAAAAATAACCTAGTTCATCTGTTAATAGCTCAGTTATTTCCCAAATAACAGCTATCCCTATATGCAGATATTTTTCATTGTATGTTTTACATTTGTTTTATACATTATATTTGTGTTTAGACTCTTATTCTTCACACAAGACCATTAGTAAGGTGGTCTGATAGGTCTATGTTTATCCTCCACCATGAGGACTTGCACTAAAAGTAAAACAAAAGTCTTTTTAGGGACAAGACCACGGACACCTGTGTTATGCGCTCGAGCACCAATCTCAGCATCTTTGAGATGGTGTGGGATACTAGTAATACAAAAAACTGTGACAGCCAAAATCTAAAAGTACTGTGGAAAAACCTACCTGTCAAATACTCTGAAAAGCTTCACCTGGGAGAATTAGTGTCATTTTAAAGGCAGAGAGTGACAGCAGCAAACCTGTTGGTTATTGAATTCATGTGGAGTTGATATAGAGAGACATGACAGTTTTGAAAGCCTCCCTTCCTTATTTTTGTGCCTATTCATGCACAGTACTGTCTATCCTTCTTGATTTTGATATGATCTGGAACAAAAACAGCCTAAGTTTCCTTTGCAGGAAAATGTTTTTTACCGTCTATTTTCCAAAACGAACCTTTTGGTTTTGCTCTAATATTTTCTTAATACGAAGAGCAAATCCACCTCATCCATATTTACATTTAACATGAGTAGCAAAATGTGTACTAAATGGAAACCTGTGACTGAATGCCTTTAACTTGCATGCTTAAACTGAGTTAGCTGAAAATTTGCATCTTACCCGTCCACAAACAAATTGAGAGCAATCTCAAAACACTTCAGGAAATTATGTCATCACAATCATAATGCAAAATTGTATTGCTTCCACTAAACACAAATTAAAAAATATGCAATTTATTTCTTACTGAGGCACTCACACTTCATATCATCTGCATAGACTTCTCCAAAGATCATCCAGTAGGGCTGGAAGACAATGTCACGAGCCAGGCTCCATGAAGGCTCCTCATCTGGAGACAGGATGGACTTCCTGGACACCCCAAAGCTCAGCAGCACGATTGCCATCATCACCACAATAAAGAACATATTTCTGGTCTTAAAACATACAGAGCAGAGAGAAGAGGGACATCATACACTCTCCGCAACCATCTTTCCCCCCTGAAATGAGTAAGCGAGCGAGTGTACCCACCATCTTAGTGATCATGGTGAGGTAAGGGCCAGCATGCTGATTGACAGCCAACAGATCCATCACTCTGACAAACCAGAAGATGATATCCAAGCAGTAAGCAATGCGCCCTGCAGTCTTGTATGGATTAGTATTCCAACGCATTGCAAATCCAACCAGAAACAGGATGATCGAAATAAAATCAGAAATGTTCCAATACTCTGAGAACCAGATCTTAAGCTTTTGGCTCAGGTTCCTCGGTTCAGACATTAGGACCTGAAGAAGAAGGACATGTGAATATTTTTGTTATGTATTTTATAATGAAAATATATTCCACCATAAAATCTTTTGAGCAGTTTTGTTCTCCAGAAAATGAGGCTCAGCATTCACATCCTTTAAGAAAAATAGTCAAATATAGCAAAATGCCTAAGAGATAAAGAAAATAAAAAAATAAATGCTTCCTCTTTTAACACTCACCTCTCTGGTTTTCTCCACTCCAGTGGACACAATGTAGGTAATGACCAGCCACTCCTGAACACTTGGCTGATCCTCCATTTTGACCAGGACCACATAGGAGAACAACATCAGAAATGCCAAGTACGACATCTGAAATAAAGACAGAAAAAAGATGCTGAAACCAAAACTTGCACCATCTGTTTCATAAGTTTAAACTGAGAGAAATGTTTTTCATCAATCTAAGGAGAACACTACATACTGTGTGAAACCAGAACTTGACAACAGGAGCTGTGTAGAAATCATAGAGTCTTGTGACCCATGATAAACACTGCACAGTGACACTGGACACCGTCTCAGATACAGGACCGAGATAATTGTTATGGAAGGAATGGTCGTGTTCTGCGTTCTGGTTAAGCTAAAAGACAGGAGAGGACAGTGTAAGCCATGACATGAAACTGATAATACTAAGGCAGTACAGTTTGAAAATAGCGCTGAATTAGTGCAACATTTGCTAACTGGAACTTTACCGTATGATCAGATTCCTCAGAGTCAAGTCCAAACAGCATCGCCTCATGGGTCTGAGGTACATGACACATTTCTGCTTTGCTTTTAAACTCCAGCAGCAAGATGAAAGGGGGTAGGAGAAGGCTCAAAATGATCTTTGATACAGAAATAGCAAGTGTCAAAAAAATATCCAGAAATATTAAGAAATATCCCTAAGCTTTACCTTTTAGCACTATAAGGCGCACCCAAAAAACTCAAATTATCTCAAAAGCCAACAGTGCGTCTTATAATCCGGTGCGCCTTTTATATGGCAACTACGGTAAGCAGTCGCCAACTCCATTTTCTTCCGTGCGCGGTTCATGCTGGATATATACCGGTATATATATTTAATTTCCATTTGTTTTATATGTAAAGACCCCAAAATGGCTCCTATTAAGAGAGCTACTTTGTACAGTTCACATCTTCCACAATTTTTACCTTCCAAAAAGAGTTTTTTCTCATGTTGAGAGGACCAGTCCAGAGGTCTGTGAGGAGGGTCTGAGTGCAGGAGTGTGAGACAAATGGTCTATGGCATGAGGAGACAGCCATCTGCAGACAGGTGAAGTGGCTCCACGTCTCCATCTCAGAGGTTAACAGTTTCATGGCCATTTGTTCGTTCTGCCGAAATGCACAATCCAACACATCCACAGCTACCTGACCAAACTCACTGACACAAACAGAATGGGAAAGAGATGCAAAGACAATTACAAGTAGTCCATGATATTTAAGAAAAAATGTGGCAGAAAAAAATACAATCCAAAAGTTGAAAACATTTTCTAAAAATAACAGCCTGATCTTCATTTAGAGATTAACTTTAAAACTGCAGTTCTGATCTAATTTCATTATGGACAGAAAAGGCTTTGACAGTGAATTCAAAGCATACTGGTCAAACCTGTTCAATATCTTAAGGTAGACTCATGTGCTAGCAGTTTATTGAGTAACCTGCAAGAAATCTAAGTCTATAGAGATGTCTCCTTATTCATCAAATACAACCCCTATCAAAAATTATGGAATCATTGGCCTAGGAAGAAGTTTATTCAGTTGTTTAATTTATTAGAAAAAAATCAGATCGCAGACATGACACAAAACTTAAGTAATTTCAAATGGCAACTGTCTGGTTTTAAGAAACACAAAAAGAAACCCAGAAAATGGTGGTCGGTAACGGTTACTTTTTTCAACCAAGCAGAGGGAAAAAATATTGAATCGCTCAATTCTGAGGAAAAATTTATGGAATCACCCTGCAAATTTCCATCCTGCATTAAATTAGACCTGCTCATTAGTATGCATCTATAAAGGAGTGATCACACCTTGGAGAGCTGTTGCACCAAGTGGACTGACATGAATCATGGCTCCAACACAAGAGATCTCAATTGAAACAGAGGAGAGGATTATCGAACTCTTAAAAGAGGGTAAATCATTATGCAATGTTGGAAAAGATGTTGGTTGTTCACAGTCAGCTGTGTCTAAAATCTGGACCTAAAACAAACGACATGGGAAGGTTGTGAAAGGCAAACATACTGGTAGCCCAAGGAAGACAGACTGCCTGAAGAGAACATGCAAATTTCCACAGTCATTGATGATATGGGGCTGCATGTCAGGTAAAGGTACAGGGGAGATGGCTGTCATGACATCTTCAATAAATGCACAAATTTACATTGATATTTCGGACAGTTTTTTTCATCCCATTAATTGAAATGATGTTTGGGGATGATTAAATCATTTTTCAAGATGATAATGGATTTAGCCATAGAGCTGTGAAACTGAAAACATTCCTTGAAAAAAAGACACATAAGGTCAATGTCATGGCCTGCAAATAGTCCAGATCTTAATCCAATTGAAAATCTTTGGATGTTAAAGAAAATGGTCCATGACAAGGTTCCAACCTGCAGAGCTGATCTGGCTACAGCAATCAGAGAAAGTTGTAGCCGGATTGATGAAGAGAACTGTTTGTCACTCATTAAGTCCATGCCTGAGACACTGCAAGCTGTTATAAAGCCAGAGGTGGTGCAACAAAATAGTAGTGATGCGTTGGAGCATTCTTTTTTTTTCATGATTCCATAATTTTTTAATGATTCCACATTTTTTTCCCTCTACTCTGTCTAAAAAAGTAACTGTTACTGACTACCACATTTTTTACTTCTTTGTGTTTATTAAAGCCGGACAGTTGCCATTTGAAATTACTTTAGTTTTATCATTCATTAAATTTGATGTTTCATTTAAATTAAAAGCATAACTACAACTGTGTAAGCGATGATGAAGAAAATGCATTGATGTTGCAAGAGGTTTGAGCGATTATTTGGTAGCATAAAACAAAAAAAACAGTAATTCTTTCAGAAATATTCTCAATTTGGCTGTGAGCTTTATGGAGTAAAAAAGTCCCAGCTTTCACTTCTATGAGATTTACAAATATTTTTCCACGTCCCTGTATTACTCACAGTGAATACGCCTTGAATCGCTCTGCAATGTTGTCGTACATGCTGCTCTGCCGTGCCTCAAAAGACATAGAGCGATAAAGTTTGCAGGCCACAACAGCCCGTGCTAAGGCTTCTTCTCCATGTTGGCACAGGAACAGCGCCATCTGCTGCCGCTCTTGAAGGATGGCCCACACAAACAGGTCGTTGAAGTTGAAAGGAACCAGAAGCATAGAACCCTCAGTGTCTGGACTCAACACCACTCCCGGACTGTTTCCAGGTGACACATGTTGATCCTAAATGGGAAAGTAAAGTGTTTTGTTTGAAAGATGCCAGCTAAACAGAAATGTCTGAGCTACACTGATTCTTAGGCATGAAATATTCATGCATTAAAGATGCAGCATAAATAACCTTTGGACAATAACAAAGACCTCAACTGTTCAAACTAAATTTAACACACAATATCAAAATAAATGCATCAACCTTTTGTCTGTAGGGCTGAGCAGTCCTGAAGAAAGGCAGATCCGGGAGACTACTGTCCCTGTTCAAGTTTGACCTCAATCCTCTGTTTTGTTTTGACAAGGACCCAGAACTGTCCTGTCTGCCCTCCTAGAAATGATGAGGAGATTGCATCGTGAGAAAAAACAAAAATAAGTCACTCAAGCTATTCTCACATGGTGTACGAAAAAAAAAACCTGAACATTCCAAACTGCCAATGCTCACTTTGCCATGCATGCGGTTGTAAACAGCTCTAAAGTTTTTCCGAGTGTAGGTGCTGCGGTATGCTCCTCCAATGAGGTACTCTATCACCAGCCCCATGTCAATGAGGGAAAGACGGTAACCCATGGGAAGAGAAGCCTACCAACACACAAAAACAAGCATAAGCACTTACATTATGATACAAAAGGTGATATGGCTGTTCCGAACAAAAACGTAGCAGAAATATATGTAACTTATTATACTGCGTGGTGATAAATACAGTGGTTGTAAGAATATAACGCAATATAAGCTTAAAACTGTCTATATAGCATTCATATCCTCATTACTTACCTGTCTGGCATCTTCAACAAGGTGGCGCAAGAAGCGCTGAGTCTGGCCCTGTGGCTGGAGAAAGGTACTCATATTATTGAGAAAGAACAAAAAATAGAAAATAAACAATGGGATATCATTTTCTGAGACAGCTGCATAACATATAAACAGAGGGAAATGTAGCTTGATGGCAACATGTCCCTTAAGTGGAATGATTCCTGAGACATAAATAATTTGCAGGCTATAATACGCTAAAGATAAAGTGCTCTGTGATTTCAGAGGCATCCACAAACAGCTGGGAAAATACTCTGGATACAATTGACCATGAAACGCCGTGAGGTTTTGATGCAACCCCTTGCAGCGCATCACTGTGAGTTCGATCAAAGCTCCCCTTGTGAAATTCATGCTTTAAGTAAAAAACACTGAATTCTCTCTGTCAGGGTAACAAAAAAAAACAACAAAGAAACAGCAGCCAAGTACAGCAATGCAGTTTGGGGTAGGTTTAAAGAAAAACAAAACGATGCTTTTAAAGATTTTGGTCAGTGCTGTATTCAAATGTATGATGTATGAAGAAGATAATCATAAGAGACATGCCAGTAACACAAAAAGTATAGAAATATTTCATAATCACTGAATTATAAAGCTCCTCCAGGCGATCCATGGTGAGGAAGCGGCCCATTGTCATGCCGTTGTCAATCAGTATTTTGACAAAACTGACACGGTCCATCACCAGAGCATCCAGCATGGCTTGCTCCAAGGCACCCACCTACACAAAGTATTCCAAGATTCAATCAAAACTACGGTAATAAAGAATAGCAAGTAACCAGAGTCAAGTTTGCCGCAGCATATCATTTGTTGTCTCACCTGCCAGTGTTGTCCATAAACCAGGATGTCGTTCTGTGCTATGTCAGCCCGGTCCCAGGCCAGAGCCATACTTAACTGCTCTGCTGGACTGGCTTTGGTGCCTGTTTTAGTTTGAAAGCAATTAAAAAAGGTAAAAACATACAAAAAAAGTTTTCTTGCACACCAAAATCAATGTAATTGATATGCCTTTTTGTTTGGGCTGACACAACATTCATTTAGAAGGGAAAGTCTGAACCATGAGCCAGCATTAACTTTAACCCCTTAAGTTAGTCAGTGCAGTAGAACAGCAGCAAATGTTGAACATGTTGTTACTGTTAGGATTTTTAAACTGTCTGTGGACATGAATGAATATAATAAGCTGAAGAAGATACCCTTGAGAGTAGTAGTCAAAATAGCAGCATCTGTGGCCATCTGGTCTTCTGATTCGGAGTCAAAGATTGTTATCTGTTCAAACACATTTTCATTTAGTAGTCTGCGTTTTCCATCACAACAAACACGTTCAAAGGCAAAGCTTTACTCACAGAATCTCTGTGATCCATACACTGCTGGAAGAGAGTGTAAAGGTGAGTAGATTGGGCCCTCTCAACTCCAAACATATTCTCTATCCTGACAAGGAAGTCCTCCATGATGTCAGGATCCAACTGCCTATAGAAGGAGTTTGCATTCAAAGACACAATTTGCAACTATTACGAATGCACCCCGATGATTGCACGTCTGTCTCTATTTGTGGGTCAACATGTTCTTCCTGTGACAGAGTTCCACTTTTAGAAGTGGTTTTCAATCAAATATTGTTTGTTGAGAATACCAGAGGCCTTCCAACATTCACAGTCCAGCCCAAGTTAGTGGAGAAGTGGGATGTTGAGTGTTATAATCCTGATGTTTAGACAAAAAACAACATGACTGAGGTCTCAACTCCTCTTGGTTTAGCACACATGATAGAGATTTGCAGTTCCAGCCCACATCTTATGTCTTACCCAAAACAAAGCAATTTTTTTATGCATGAGCAAACAATAACATCCATTATCTTTTCAGTTATATCCACATGATAAATGTCTGTTCTTTCTAAAAACAACAAAAATTATGAAGTTTAAAAAAACATCCAGTTTAGTTTAATTTTAAATATCCACAACCTGAACCCGTATCAGACCTCCTCCTCAAGACCATATGTCAACGTACCTATCATTAGCAGTCTGTTTGTGTAAGAAGGCAAGGAGGTCTGCAGCTCTGCCTGATCCCTCAAACACAAACACTGGCACAGGGGGTACACTGCTAACATAGTCCAACACAGCAGACACAATGGCAGGACCTCCCTCCACCACCACACACACCACCGGTACTCTTTGGTTCAGACCTAAAATTAAGGTCAGAGTAATAGTTAGTGATGAAAAATCCAACTGTGTGTCTTACTCGAACGCACACACGCTAACTCACGGGGATGAATCTTCTGTAGCTGGATCTGTTTCTCCAGTTTCCTTCTCAGGCCTTGTTGACAGCCATGTTTGCCCAGCGTCCCATCATCCACCAACAGAAAGTGGGAATGAAAACCGTTAAGACAGGCCCTCTTGCTCAAGGGGTTCCCCAGCGGCTGGTATGGTCTGAACACCTGAAGCATCGTTAAGTCAAGGTCAGTCCCTGACCATCCCAGTGAAATAGAGCATCAGGATAAAGTATGACATGTTGATTGTTTTCAGTGTGATTTCACTCAGATAGAAGCGTAGTTTTACTACTGACATCTCTGCCGACGAGGTCCGTGTTGTTGTCAATCACCCCCCACGGTGTGATGCCAACTGTGTTTCTCTTCCTCAGGTCATGGCCTCCAAAAATCTTTACAGCATCACCCACATACTTAGACACACCTGGAAAACATGGAAAAAGTCCATAGCTGATCACATAAAAGGCCTTCGCATAAAACTGAGAATGGATTTTCAAAACGATTTTTAATGCTAACCTGTATTAATCCCATCAGTAAGTATCCACGCCCCTGTGCTGAGGGCGGTGGTGATCAGCCCGTTGCTAAAGGCTTGCTTTACTTTGGGGAGAAGGGGGAAGTTTTCGGAGCCTCCCTGGACGGTAAGCAGAAGCTTGGGTCTCTCCATCTGCCATTCCTTCAGCATCAGCTGCAGCAGCACTTCGGGCTTTGAGTCCACAGCCACACGAACGTACTGGAAAATCACGCCATCAGTTAGGACTGCACTTTGTGCCTCTCTCAGGTGCCGCTCAGGTGATTGTTGTGTCACTATAGCAGATAGCATCTTTGTTTTCATACTGCTTATATCATAGCAAACCACAGTTTAAACAACAATCAATACCTATATGCCCATCTCACTCACTCCAGGAAAATGCTACTATAGATGTAGATTTTTTGTATTATTGCCTGGATGACGCTCCTACAGATGGAATTACAGACCTTTGCCCGACAGACACGCGTGGCAGTATCTTGAAAATCAATTATCCCATAGGCATTGGTGGGACTGGCCTTGGTATGAACTTCCATGGACCAGCTCTCTTCTACACCCTGGCCAGGACCAGGATAGAAGGATATGGGAGGAACAAACTCTCCCCAAGAGTGTTCTCCCATCAGGCGGCCACAGCAACATCTAACCAATGCAAAAGATTGTTATAAATCAGACAATCTGGTGGAGGGAAAAGGTCAAATATTTTGGAAGGATATCTATGTTTAGCAAGCATCAAAGGATGTGCGGAGAAACAATACAAATAAGCTGGCTGGGACAGGGCCTATCCTTTTAGAATGACGGAAAATGTTTCCGTGTCCCTGGGGAAAGTCTCAAAGCAAAACAATCAAATATTTTGCTTTAAAAATTTCACATAGGGAAAATGTGTTTTTGTTTTTCAAGGTTACTGTCTGTGTCTTATGACAGCTATCATAGCAACTACACAGGCTAAACAAAGCTTAGAACAAAGAATTCATCAAAAAATTATTTTTAAGAAGAATATTGAAAAATACTAATACTATTTATGTCTTCAAGGATAACACAAAATCATAGAAGAAATTGGTTGAAGAACAATCAGATAGTGTTCTTTGTATTTAATTTACGGGAACATGGCAGGTACCCAGGGCACAGAGGCATTCACAATTGGACTAATTAAAGAAGGTCAGTACAAGTCCTCCCCTTTTCCTGTAACCGTCTCCCACCCTTCCTCCTCACCTCCCTTCAACCTTGAATTTACATATAAGTGTTTCATTGTTTTCATTATGTTACAGTTGAAACACTTCACATATCCATTCTTATCATTTCTTTTCAGTTAGAAAAGCCCCTGAAGTGCTCGCGATTTGTTCACCTTTTAAAAAAAAAATACATGATGTCAAAGAAGAGGAAAGAAAGCAACAAAAAGTGGAAAAAGTACCAAAGTTTGAATGTAACAACAACAACAGTGTAGCCTATTTAGTGATGCTATAAGTAAAAACATTCAAACGAAAGCCAATCAATCATACCTGATCAAGTTTTGGCATACTTGACATACAGGAATGCATCTGTTAGAGACAGGAAGTTACACGTTACAAAAGAATCCACGTGGTGCCAGTTCCTGGAGGGGAAGGGCTGGCTGCCAAAAAAATCTGTTCTCAGAAAAAATGTTGTTCAAAGATACTGCTGGTACCGTTATGCTACAAACCAACCAAACTACCTCCCAAGAAACTTGTAAAAACAAGTACTTCCACTGTCAGTGTGTTCAGATTTCACTTTACCTGTGTAGGTCCCAAGAGGAGGGGATAAACCTCACGCACTCTCTCCTCAGGACGTTTTCCTCAATCCAAGACTTACGTAACTGAAATAAGAAGAGACAACATTTACTGGAAATGAACACACCCACAGCAATGCAAATGGTGCATTTTCAACTTAAAGGGCAAATTGACCCTAAAGCCAAACAAATGTTATTTTTGAGAAAAAGGCTTTAGTGACCTTCTCGGTGAAGCTCATTGTGGTGCCGACAGATGTTTACACACTCGGAGTGAGCTGTGGGTCCCTCCCCATCACACAAACGCAGCTCCCCTCTCTCAAAGTGGAACACTGACAAGTGAGCTGCAAGTCAACCGCTACCTCAACTTGAGAGCAATATTTCCTCATGCCTCTATATTTTTAAGGTCTTTGCATAGTTTCTCAGAGAGATTCAACAATAGCCCCACTGAGGAAGCCAAAGTTTGTAGGAAACATACAAACATCCCCTTCCTGAGATTACTCAGCATGGTTGAATAGCGGGTGTACTCCCACAAAGGCTCACTCTGGGTAAATACTAAACAACTGTAGCTGATGTTGTTCATGGTGTTCTGAATAAAAACAGATGTCTAAATGCACAATAAGCTTCAGCCATATATCAAATGCTGCTACATGAGTTTTAGGATTTCAAGTAAATTCTAATAGTTTTTAGCTAATTTTGGGGCAGTATGAAAAAGTTGGTTTACATGAGCTCATGATTCATTTGCAAAGACCAGCATCCAAGACTTTTCTTGGTCGATTTATAGATGAGAATATGTGCTTTGAAAACATTATTTCTTTCAAACTCACCGGGAAAAAACAACATATTCAGATGTTTGTTTTACTGCATCTGCCCATTTATTGTTCCATTCGTTAGAAAGCGTAAGCTACAACTGAATAATTACATTTAGTATTTCCGCGTGTTTTTGTTTCATACATTCTAAATGTTTTACCCTGGTTTAGTCAGATGAGCAGCTCTCTCTCAGGGAAAATGCAAACAAATAGGGAACGAACAGTTTGACGACGTGCCCGCACAGTGAAGAAACTTGCAATATCAGTATTATTAGTAGTTTCAACTCATTTAAAAAATATCTACTAGTGATTTTAATATTACTGTCGCCTTTAAACTTCTCCACAGGGCAGCGAAAAATGTGTGTGTCTGGTGTTCCACGATATTTTTAAATTAGACATAAGAAGTCCGTATCTTTGAACTGGTCGCTGTTAGAGCAGCTTACATGGCACCGGGCCAGCCCGGGTTACCCGATTCAGAGGCAGCTAGCGTCAACTTTAGCTCTTTGCTAACGAGAGCTAATTGGTAAATTAGCTGTGTTAAGCTTCTTTAATGACGTTAAATAACAAACACGGAAGACACGTGCCGGTAAAAAGCTTTCAGCTGGTGGGCAATATTACTTTTACCCGTAGAACTTACCATGGCTTTCCCCTTAAGATAAATTGTGCACAATGTTTAAAGTCTTAAAGAGCCCTTCATTGCAGTCCACCTCCTCATCATTTATCTGACAAGGACTGGCTTGCCTTCTATCAGCCGCAGGTCCAAAGGGCACCGAGCCTTTCCAAGAAGCCTGGAGGAGCTCCTGACCCTGCCTTTCACGCACAATCAGGTCTGTTTCACACTGGAGCAAACCAGGTGTCCACAGACACACTCTCCCCTCACATCTCTTTACAGTTCACTTGCTTTTCTGCTCTAATGACACTGGGACACTGAGAAAACAGGAATATTTGAATAAAACTCACACAAGTACTCAAAATATTTTTATTAATTTCCACTGAAAAACACTTTACAAGTCTGTGACATTCAAAATCACTAACGAACAAGTGATCCGTCAAGCTGCTTTTAAATAGGCCAAAACAAGTTGGAACAGCTGTGTGACGACAAAGCTCACATTTTCATGTTGAGCTACCATTCTGCTAATGTGTTGCAAGACAAAGATTAAGCACACAACAGAAGGTACATCAAGTCTGCCTGACATACTGCACACACAAGCTGCTGAGATTCAGAGGAATTACTTTAAATGTGTACTAAAACAAAAATCTCTCCAGAAGACTGTTGCTTTATTCAAGTCACTGTCACCATACACCACCCTGAGCCACATTCATTAACTGCTTTGGAATTTCCGGCATTGCCACCACAAATGGGGGGTTTTCAGGGTACTTTACTGTGTTTGTAACAGATCTACCTGCTTAAGAAGCATCCTTATAATGTTTACTCGAAGATTGTGAGGCGACCTGGACATGCTCCCCTCAGGTTTCCATAGCATCTGCAGATGAACCACTGACTTTTGACCTCTCTTTTGTTTGAGAATGGTCACTGTCATCCTGTAGCAGTGAGAGGTCAAGTTCAGGTAGGGGGACCCTCCAAAACTGAAAGGAGTTATAAGTGCAGTCTTCAGAGTGTGAGTCTCCCTTTGGCTGAAAGGAAAGAGCAGTTAAAATAAATAAATAAAAACATACATAAATAAATAAGCAGAGCTTCATACTAATATGCTCTAATATCGGTCTGTTATTTGCTG